CGACGACTTTCATTCACTCGGCCTGCACAATGTCGATATGGTGTTGTTACCTGTAGCTGCAATTAGTGTACGTCCATAAAAGTGATGTCAGTCCACAGCAGGATTTTGCGTGGTAAGGGATAAGGTTGGGGACTCAGAACGGTCATCGTTTGTCGTTCGATCCAGACTTCGGTAACGCACAGGAATCCAGCGACGTTTGTGCGCAGGATATCGTCATCTGCACTTTCACACAAACTCAACGCCAGCAGGTGGTGCTGCATCTGTGCATTCGGTTGTATAGGCACTAGTTTCGTTCTCGTATCTTCGGCCTTCATGCCAAGAGGCATGCAAGAGTCTGGCAACGCCGGAGCGCCTATCTTGTAGATGCAAACTTCGTCGAAACGCACCTGAAACGAGTGTGGAAAATACACTTGTCGTGTACCACCGTAGAAGTAGCTGCAAATTTTGCTTCGTCGGCCGACGATACGAAGTGCTCGTGATCTTTCTTCGACACCTCCCGATTTCGGCTGATGAGCAATTTTGACGAACTCCGGAAGATCTCGTTTTAATTCATTGTACAGTCTTTCGTGATCTATGACTACCACGACGTCAACCTGTGAACCGAAATTAATATAACCATTCATCATCTTAATGTTGCAAATATATTCTCTAGCCATAAACATTTCTGACAGTGTCACATTGAATTTAGTTTCGTCTGACCGTTACCAGACTCGCTTGAAATGAAGAGTGGGATACACACGTTGATGAAGCTTTCGCAATCAGTCAAAAGGTGTTTGGCATGATTTTGCCGTGAAGGCTGTTTATCATGAAGCAGGATGAGGAAACGTCAAAAAATTCGGTCAGTAAAACAATGGTTAAGAGTCTGAGTTAGCAGAGGTACGGATATGAACGTATCTTTCAGGCTCGAAAGTCCTTTAAAGGTACAAAAAGAAAAAATAACAAAGCAACAGGATAAGTAAATTCTGTTACGCTATAAACGATTTCCAAAAATATGCGCTCGAAGAGAGATAGCCACTGAAGCTAGCAGCGGATGATCAAACAGCCGATGCCTTTGTTAGAAAAAGTAACAATGAACATCAAGCGTCGCTTGTTTCGCAGTTCTCAATCTGAAATCTGCTTTCAACGATATCACCCACCTGCTGAATAAGATGCCGAGCGATGACGTCGGCCAAAGGAAACTCCACTGGATCGCCAGCTATTTGTCCACTCGAAAACCGTCTGTATTCAGTTAGAAGGAGAAAGCTAACAGTCAAACAAAACAATTCAGGAATAGTAAAAGATCAATTTCGTCACCTCTGAGGAACTACCTCGTTGTCTGCTAAGTACATAAAATATGCAGAAGATACCGCGACCATCAAAATAACTTCATGCATCAAGGACCAGACCGGAACAAATATTAGAGCGTACTGCGTAAAGTTCAATAATTCAGCGTGTTTCATAATCAGTGACAAGAAAACTGCGAAACTGTATTTATCCTGAAAAATACAAAAAATTCCAGCCTGCTTCATGCAGCACCAACAAATTTCTACCCACACGATTTTATATTTGCTGTCAGATATAAGCAAAATATCTCGTCTTGTTGATTTGTGATGATTTTCCTTGCACAATCACAAGAGATACACTTGCAACGCAACAAAGCTTCGTACTACGCGAGAAGGCTAAATTCTTCAAAGGCTCCGCAAGATACCAACATGCATACTTTTCTTTACACCTAAGCTTCATCCGGAATTTTCCTTGGTCTCTTTGTTCATGATTACATGCTTTTGAAACGAACCTTCAAAATAACTGCTACGTTGGGGCTTCCGACGGATGGAGATTGCTCTGCACGCAATAAACGAGGCAACCAACGACTCACCGACCGGAGAAAAGAACC